TCCAAAGTCCTGACCTCTTGTGTCCTTTAAAACCCCAAAGGTTCGTCTAAACAACTATTGTTTATTTTTTGAAGGACACATGAAGATTTCCAGCACGAAATGTCTCACTTACGCATACCAAAACATAAATATTTTTTCCTCCCTTGCCCCAAACGCACAACTTACTTATCCATTGCTACGAAAAGAGGAACTAAACTTCGAAGCAAGGCAAGAAGGTTGCAGGATGAACCGTAGCAGATTAAAGTAGTCCCCTTGCTAAACAGTCTATTGTATAATCCCACATACTCTGCACCTGTATATGTATATACCGAGTCCATTCATCTTTTCACCCTCGTTCATTCATTCCCTTCTTTTTTTTTTTTTTTCATTTATTGACTGAATCTACAGGTACATGATCCGTTGGCGAACTGCAGGTATAACAAGATAATGACTGCCAAGGCGCACTTGATGATCACTTGGATCGAAAACGCGTGTACCTGTACACATTGTAAAACGGGACAATTGAGTTTGAAGTAAAGCCACACGGTCCCTCCCTCCCCCTTTTAGATATCAACCCCTGCTTGCTTCTCCCAAGTGGTGTAGACCTACCCATAATGTGCACTCTATTGTATTAATACCCGACTTGTGTGATACACTATACATCGTAGGTACACTTAACTCGACAAATACCAACCCCTGCAATAATTTCATTTATCGTGCAATATAGACGAACGCACCCCCGCTCACACATAATATCATATATATGTACGAATAGTATATCAGGAAAAATGGGAGCAATGCGTTTCATCACATATCGGTTCTGGCGTGTGTAAGTTTGTCGCTCGTTTAGTTTTTTAATTAGTCGACGTCCGGTGGTATCGACTATTATTTTACAATTATAACAGATTTCACGTTTGTGATTAAAAAAAAAAAAAAAAAAAAAAAAAAAAAGTTGTACGTGACCAAATGCACGTATTTTTTTCGGCTCTTTAGCGATATTTTATAAGGAAAAAGTAAAATCAGGAAAATAACTAGATAATAGTTTTTGAGGGAATCGTCTAATTAATGGTCATTAAACATACATATGCTTGTGTACGTCCGTGTGTACGCGCGTGTCGCTTTATCTAACTGTAACGTGTGCAATCGGTATGCGTTTCGATTCCTTAGACAATGTGTTTTCGCCTCCAAACTATGCCCATTACGAAAATATGATAAAAAAAAAAAAAAATGTATTTTCAAGAAAATGAATAGATAATAGTTCTTGGAGGAATCGTCAAATCACTGTCCGTTAAATATCTATATGATTGTGTATGTACGTGTACCGCTTTGTCTAACTTTAACGTGTGCAACCGGTATCAACCGGTATGCGCTTCGATTCCTTAGACAATGTGTTTTCGCCTCCAAACTATGCCCATTACGAAAATATGAAAAAAAAAAAAAAAAAATGTATTAAGTATCAAGAAAATGAATAGATAGTACACCTACAAGGGGGTCGTCAAATCACCGTCCGTTAAATATATACACGCTTGTGTATGTACGTGTGCCGCTTTGTTCGAGGCTTTGTCTATTATTTCTTAATCATGTGCAACTGTATAAGCTCCAAATTCCTTATCAAATGTTGCAATACGTAGGTATGTACATTGTGTTCACACGCGCTTACCGCGCATACGGAAGAACGGGGCACGTTGGTGCAGGGATGACATCATAGAAATTTGGAACATTTGTGGTCCGCAAGACCAACTGGTCAAAATTTTTCTTACCATGAGCCCAAAGTGCAACTGCCCCCCCGGAGGGCGTAAAAACCTTGCTGCCCGCGTAGGCCAAAAGTGATTACAAGGGCGCAAAGTGTGACTCGAGGGTACAAAGCGGCAGTTTGCACTTTGAGCCCATGGTAAGAAATGGTCGTTTTCGTCGGATAAGTGCCATCGTCTCCGGGGGTATTTTGCGTAAGGAAGCCACGAAGCGATGGCGAATCCTATTTTTCCTACCAAAGGCACACCCGACCCTCAAAAACGCCCAAGGTTGGAAATGGTACATTACGTCACCATAGGGCACAAAGTTTAAACATGAGCGCCCGAGTCGCGTATAATATTTTTCCGACCTTGGGCGTTTTTGAGGATCGGGTATGCCCTTGGTAGGAAAAATAGGATTCGCCATCGCTCCGTGGCTTCCTTGCGCAAAATACCCCCGGAGACGATGGCACTTAACCGAAGAAAACTACTATTTCTGCCCGAAGGACTGAAAAAATGTTTAGATCGAGCCGTGTGAAGCTAATCTTTCACTCAGTCGTGATCTATAGATTTCGTGGCATTAACAAAAAACAATAAAAAAAAAAAATAACATCCGATTTACCCGAGTTTAATACTTGACGAATCGTATGAGTAAAATATTATATATACAAGTCGGTTGTTGGTGATTTCTCCCCAAAACTATGCGCATACAACGAGAAAACCGCAAAAGCTCGCGAGCTGTAAAAATAAGGCATTGGGTTCGTTCAAACCCCCCTTGGGTTGGTCTGGGACCAAAAAACATAAAAAAACACGCGTTCGCGAGAAATTGGTTCTAGAACCGATCGACTCGGACTTTTGGTCTCGTGAACGCTTGTTTTTTGTTGTTTTTTGGTTCTATAACTTAACCAAAGGGGGGTTTAGACGAACCTCATAATAAATCCGTGGTGCAATTATCATGAAACTCGAGTGAAGACGATCGCACCGCTCGATTTAAAACGACCGCGCAATGAAAATTTGTTTAAACTAACGAAAAAATTTCCCAGATATACAGTATCGATGATCCTTTTGAAAACACCATCGACGGAACAATCAAAATTTTTTATTTCTCATTGGAGTACTAAGTACATTGGACACAAACGAAAACGTCAAAAGTGTACCAACTCGCCCCGTCTTCTCCTGTAATCGTCGAAACGGCATACGTGTACATCACACGCACCTCCCGCGCGCCACCCGACAACACACGAAAGAGAGACGAGCGTCGCCGAGCGGTGGGGACGGCGCTAGCTATAATAGCCCCGCCGCTGTCGGCCGGAGCGCCAGAACGCCATGTTGATTGGTCGTACGCAGTACTGTTGTTATATACCGCTGCTGTATACTTTGCCGAAATAACAGTGTTCCGTCCCCGTGAGTTTTGAGCAGAAAGAAACAGAACACGAATAAGTAAAAATTTAAAAAAAAAAAAAAAACAACCTCGGTGGTGACCGGGGAGCTTGCTCCTCGCGGTGCGTGTCATAATCCTCGATACACTTATTGCTCTCGTGGCCCACAAAACATTCCCCCCCAGTGCTTGTGCAGTGTGTGCGTGCACCTACCTACTTATATGCTGGTATAAGGTACCAACTACCTAATACCTATAGGTAGTCCTGTTGTGGAAAAAGTGTGTGGAGAGAGAGAGAGAGAGAACACGAGGAAGCTGTACTTTTCTTAACCTGGATAGGTAGCTCGTATAATTGTTCCGCACACCCTAGTACTTACTATAACTGATTATTGTATAAAGAGGTGTACATTACTTGAGTGCTTTTTCTCTCGGTTGCTCTGCAGCACCGCGCAAAGAGACGCGTGTTCGTTCGGCTATCGACTCTCTGTATACACGTATAAATACACATATATATACGTGCCGTGAGAAACATTGTGTGTTGCTATTGCATGGACAATCGGAGCAGCCTTGAACTTTGAGTGCATACGTGGGTGCTGTGAGTGATATTAGATCGAGGAGACGACGTCTAAGTCATCAGGAGGTGGAGGAGGAGATATACTTGAGAGGACCCACCGTGGCCACTTACTTACGTGCATGTAAATACATATATGATATCTGAACTAGGGCTGGGCGCTCTCTTAACATCAGACTCCCCGAGAGGAGGTGGTAGGTATCTTTCGTCCTATACTCGGGCTCACGCAGCTCTTCACATGGGCTTGAGCATGTCTACCTCTACCTACGTGGTGAGGAGCTTCTTTTTCGTGTCGATTTCACTCTGAATTACAAGGGTCTGCTAGTTGACGTGGTTATCACGAAGTAGGGGTTCATGAAAGCGAAAGAATAAACTTCGTTTGTGAAGTTTTAATAGTTTAGAGTCGTTGGTATGATGCTTAGGGAGTCGGAAAAAACAACGTGTTGTAGCATCCCAAGATTTCTATTTGATCGAGACACCTCTGTATTGTTTTAAACTGATTTCAGTTAAGCTTAACCTCTGTAATTTTCTCTCCTCCAATCAAATTCTTTATTTTATTGACTAAATGTCTAATGTCACAAGGAAACATGTAATATTTATGACTAAGTTTAGTAAGATTCTGTGTTTGTGTGGATTGTTATGCAAGGTTGAAAGACAAGGTTCAAATCTCACACTTATACAATCACCTCTTATCAACATTAGGTTTCAATCTCTTTGTAGCAGTCAAGGCAATGCTTATCTCGAAAATTTGGTAGTTCTATATTATTAAAAGTTGTATACAGATGTTTTGCTGTTAATTCAGGTGAACTGAACAAGCTTAAAACATTCTTTTTACCAGTATTTTACACTTTTGCTGCCAATTATACTTTTGAAGTATTTTTATTCATATTTGTGCAGTTTTATATTACACCTCGTGTCCATTATTACCTACTCCAGACTTTATTTTACTAAAGTTTAATTAAAGCAAAGATATGATGCACTTGTCTTTGAACTGTTCCTGTCAAAATTTCAAAGACTTTAACCACAGGGCTGGTCTGTGGTGCCGATCCCATTTAAAATTTACAATTAAATTTCTGTGTTGAATTAATGAAACATAGAGTCATGAAATAAAAATTATGATGTTACAAATTGTTTTTAAGCTTTTTCTACTAAAATTGTTGATAAATTATAAATTAGAAAAAAAATTTACTTTTGAACTTGATTTGAGAAAAAAAATACATACAAATATATTTACTTAATAACTGGATGACAACTCAAAGGTTGAGAATCCATCGAGTACTGTACAAAGCGCACACAAATTGAAATTAATTTTATAGCAATGATTTTTTCTTTATTTTTACAGATGTTGCTAGTATTGAGAACTTCTGCTGGTAGCACGGAGACCCAGTGTTGTATGCAGGGCTGACAATTAACCCGCTACCATTTGGTAGATGAAGTCTTGTCAACCTGCAGCAGTTACCTGCTACTTAGCATTTATGAACATTTTACATGTCAAAAAAGCAAGTTCACTTTTAAAAAATAAAATTTTTTACATTCTAAAAAATTTTTTCTAGTGGTTTTTGTGAAAACAATTTTTTCGTATAAGGTGCATTATTTGAATTATTAAAAAAAAAGAAAAATTTTTTTTTAATTCTAATAGAAATGGTCCGTTTCAGAATCGAAAGCAACATGCAGCAGGTGGATTCTATTACACAGAACAATTCGGTGAGCATCCACTTGTCTCACAATACATTTTTTTAAATCCCAGTTTAAGTTGTATACCACAAATTGCTTTATTATTTTTATTTTTGTAAAAAGAAAAAAAATAAAACTACAAAAAAAATTACTTTGAGTACAAGTTGTTGCATTTAATCAAAAGTAAAATAAAAAGCACACAATTGCAATTGTTAAGTAGGGTTTGGTAAAATCTCGTTTGAAGAAGTAATTTCAGTAATATTACTTGTAAAAGCAATCTTGGAATTATTTTAACATTTAGCTTATAATCTGCTTTTAGTTAATGCTTATAGATGTAATCATATAGAATAGCGTATAAGAATTAATAGTCCTTTTTTCTTAGATGATGATCATGTACATTTGTTAATTATTTGTTTTTCTTTTTGTTTGACTGAATAGAGTGTGTATGAATTGCAGTTAGATGTGGAGGAGCGAGAAAGGCTGTGTAATATACCGAAGGTGAGACATCTCATTGATTACGGACTGTTTCAGATTATGTCGAGGATATATTTGCCTTATTGTCTTCCTATTACCATTAATTGTACCATCTATTGATATACTATCAATTGCTGCACAAGTATTATCCTCGACATAAAAGTAGATAGTTTCAAATACAGTAGTTTTAAGTAGCAAAACACTCAAATCCTACAAACATGGAAAAACATTACTTAAATTGAGTTTAAAAATCGCACATGTCACAGTTATGCACAGTAACGCAATATCAAAGCACAAAAACACAACCTGTAAGATTACATTTAGTAAAAATTCGGATAATACAAAAGACGAATGATCCCAAATATCGTTAAACAAAATAAATTTATGTGAATTTCGTTTTGGGCCGTTTGATGCAGACGAGCGCTACTGGCAAGACCGCGACGGCGCCAGCCGCTCCACAGAAAGAGCCGCCTCCACGGGAAGAGCCTGTTGTGGAGCCGGTTAATGGCATTGTGCAGCCACCGGTAGTGCCACCACCAAATCGGCTTGGCCGAAACACAAATCAATTGCAATTCTTGCAAAAGGGTGTACTCAAACCAGTATGGAAGCACCAATTTGCGTGGCCCTTTCAGCAGCCCGTCGACGCGAAAAAGCTCAATTTACCCGTGAGTATCACGTAACGCATTGAAACATTCTCCCGGGCGTATGCCGACGTAAAGATGTAAACGAAACGCTTTGTCTTAGGATTACCACAAAATTATCAAACAACCAATGGATCTGGGTACGATAAAAAAGCGTCTAGAGAACCAGTATTACTGGAGTGGCAAAGAATGTGTTCAAGACTTCAACACGATGTTCACAAACTGCTATGTGTACAACAAGCCAGGCGAAGACGTCGTGGTCATGGCACAAACCTTAGAAAAGCTATTCCTAACAAAAGTTGCACAAATGCCAAAGGAAGAGGTCGAGCTAGAGCCGCCAATGCCGAAGGGCCCGAAGGGCAAAAAGCCCACGTTGGGCCGTGTCGGTGCCGTTGGCATGCTACCTGGAGGCGCGCTGAATCGCGGAAGGCCAGCCTCGGTTACGGCGACGATTCCGTCAAGCCTGCCCAACAGTTTAGTCCTGACGCAGACACCAGGCGCACTCGGTTCTATTCCTACGGTGGCCGGTCTGACGTCCCAAGGGCTTGCACCGCCTACCATGCCTGGCAGTAATGCCACGACGATAGCGCCACTTCCGGGACCAGCACCGACCATACCCGGTGTTACGGCAATGACGGGGCACAACTCCCTGCCAACGCCGATCGTGCCTCCGGCGACGAACTACCATGCTCAGCCGGCTATGGACACGTCCGTGGTGCCGCCTCAGGTTAGTCTGGGCTATTATCATGCGGTACGTTCATTTTTTCATATTCACCCTTAGTAGTTGTGTTGGACATCCTTTTTATTGTTTGCATTGCATTTATTTCCAGTTTGAGAATTTAATATGTTTTCCAATACGTAGTTCTTCAAAAGAGCTGGACGTAGTGTACTACTTTTACTTTTTAAGTTGAATGATAATCATACCTTTTCAAAACTATTTTAGTGCATGGGTTTGAATTATAAACTCGTTTACAATATTTTGAAGAATATTCTAAACGAACTTTGAGATAGTTACAATTTACTACCCCATTAATCCAATCTCTGTATTGCACAAAAAATGCGTTGGTACTGATGGTCACTTTTGCTCTTTGTTATGAGTAATCATACAGGGGTCATATTTAAGTTAAATATCGTGATGTCTGAAATCAAAGACGATTCGTTTGTTCAAGTACATATTCAGTATTCCGACAGTGCTTAGCCAAGAAAGTTGATGACGTGATTATTAATTATCGTACAAAAAACAGAACGATTAAAAAGAAGTTTGTTTCTAAGATACGTTTTAATCAAAATTGAAAGTTGATGACCAAACGATTTGAGCGAGATATACATTAAACGGATTTTAATTTTTTAACTACAGTTAATCAAAATGAGAACTTTTAAAATGTAAAAGATAGTTCGGTATTTATTCTACAATTATTTAAATCGTGTACAGGTACCTACGATAGCGACAGTAATGCCTCCCTCACAACCCGCCAAAGTCAAAAAAGGCGTGAAGAGAAAGGCTGATACAACGACACCTACATCAAACGCTTTTGACGCAATCTATGCTCCAATTGATTCAAAGATTGCCAAGATCCCGGCAAGACGAGAATCCAGCAGACAAGTCAAGAAGGTAAGTCTCAAGTGCCTCTAATGTCGCATACACCCATAGCTTTTTTGCTATCCGTTTTACGTACCATGAAATATTATCAATTATCATGGTTGCATGATCGTTGCGATGAGTTAATCATTAATGATGAAATGTATATGTGATTTTGAGTACTAAAATATTTCAAGAAATATGAAATATATGATGTTTTGTAAGCTGTGTAGTTTGTAAAGTTTAACACATGTTTTTGTTTAATATCGTAAATACTAATGTCAAAAGTGTAAGCCTTTGATATGCCAAAAAAATAATTTCAATATGGAAGTTACATCTAAAGTCATCTATAAGTCCGAGTTACTTTGAAATCATTGTGCAAAACATGTACATGTGACAATGTCACTACATTACTAACAGTGAGATTGATGGGGGTGTTTCAGCCAACGAGGCAAGCAGAAGACGGCCTGGTACCGTTCCATCCGGCCAACATGCCCATGATTGGAGCTATGGCCCAACAGGTATATTCATTTTTATCATCTCAAGCTTTCTCGCGTTCTATTATGTTTTATGTTCTGTTGCTTGATTTATGGATTCACTGCATATTATTGAACAAAGCCAAGCCAATTATTTTGTTTGCTGCATATTTTTAATCATTCTGATGGTTTAAATGTATATGGGGGAACATTTTTTAAATAATTTACTTAACATCTACTATTTAGGATCGAAAAATTTTACTTCACCTACTGTTAAATACAGCATGTGACTTTATTAATCCCAGTATTTTCATAACTTAAGTAAATCAGTTTTTCCTGGATACTCAGAAATGGGTGACAAATCAGTAAAAGATCATGTAACAATTACATTTTCAAACTAACACTTAATATTAATATAAACTCAAACAACAAAAATACATAGAACAAAATGTTTTCCTTTAGATATTTCTAATTTTTTTTATTACTTTCATTTCAGCCTCAGCATGTGGCTGGAAAGTCGAAAGACAAACTTTCAGATTCTCTCAAATCGTGTAATGAGATCTTGAAGGAATTGTTTTCGAAAAAGCACTCTGTAAGTACTAAAGTCTCATGATGTTTTTAAAATATCTATATTGATGAATAATTGCTCAAGTTTCATGTTGCATTACAGAGTTACGCCTGGCCTTTCTATAAACCTGTCGATGCAGAACACTTAGGCCTTTATGATTATCATGAGATTATTAAAATACCCATGGATCTCGGCACTGTTAAGGTTTCTAACTTGTTAATGTGTTTTATAATATTGCTGATATTCAGAAAAATAAACTCATAATTTTTTCCCTAAAGTCAAAACTGGACAAAAGAGAATACAATTCAGCATCAGAGTTTGCTGCCGACGTCCGGCTTATATTTACAAATTGTTACAAATACAATCCTCCAGAGCATGATGTTGTTACTATGGCAAAGAAGCTCCAAGATGTTTTTGAGATGAGGTAATCATTAAATTATACCTAAAGTGAAAAAGTACTTGAACGGTATCTACAATTGTACTCAATTTTTCTTACAGGTACGCTAAGATTCCTGATGAGCCAACAGCCAGTTTGATGGGTATGAAGCAGTCAGAAAGTAGTGGTAGCAGTTCTCCCTCTGAAGACACGTCCGAGACGGATGATTCCGATGAGGAAAGAACGCAAAAGTTGGTTGCCTTGCAGCTGGAGTTAAAGGCAATGCAGGAACAGATGCGTAAACTTGTCGAGCAGAGTGGCAAAAAGAAGGACAAAAAGAGGAAGCTTGACAAAAAGCCCAAGCTTATGAACAGCAAGGATTTGATGGCAGGTGGACATAGCGGTGCCATGAAGGAGTTGATGAAATCTGGCAGTGCTTTACGAGGAGTGTCAGACAGCGTCGGTGCTACTCTACAAAATGTTTCTTTAGGAGCAGGTAATTTTTTTTTTTTTTTTTTCTAAATTTTGCTTGGCATCTCGCATGCCTGTGCTATTGCATTATCATGGAAATGCGATTTGATTGTAAAGTTTGAACAAATCGTTAAAGGATCTCTAATATATCTACTGAAATTAATGAAACGCTACTGGTTTCAGTAGAATTAAACAGATGCTGATCAAGAAAGAGAGAGAGAGAGAGAGAAAGAGAACATGCATACCAACATTAACATTTTTATTGCTTTTGTTAACTTTTTTTTTATTTTGTACCTTTTTTTTTTTTTTTGTTCCGCTAGACTCTTACTTAACATCTCAACACAGTTATTACCCACACTACTTTAATTACGGTGGTCCTTATGCCAATCTCGTAGGTCACCACTTGCCTCCGAGCTCGGCTGCAGCGGCAGCAGCAGCGGCGAGTGCTGCGGCCGCAGCCGCAGTCGTGGGTGTTAATGCCAAGAATCAAAAAGGAAAGGGTAGGGGTCCGAATAAGGGTGTGACAGCGGCTAACGCTGCGACTAAGAGGCCGAAGGCTAATAGCCGTTCAACTGGTACGAAAAAGAAAAATGCTGCCAGTTTGCCGGCCCCGGCTTTTGACTCGGAAGACGAGGATAATGCCAAGCCTATGTCTTATGACGAAAAGCGGCAGCTTAGTTTGGACATAAATAAACTGCCAGGAGACAAATTGGGTCGCGTTGTTCATATCATACAATCGCGAGAGCCGTCGTTGAGAGATTCCAATCCTGACGAAATTGAGATCGACTTTGAGACGTTGAAGCCTTCAACACTTAGAGAACTCGAAAGCTACGTTGCCTCTTGCCTTCGAAAAAAGCCACGTAAGCATCCTTTGTATACTTAATTAAAAATTTAATTCTTTTTTTTTTTTTTTTTTTTTTTTTATCGATTAAAGCAACGTAACGAATTGTATTACTGTATTACTGTAATTGATATTATAATGTTTTTAATTATAGATAAAAAAGTCAGTGGTAAATCCAAAGATGAACAAATGGCAGAGAAAAAACAAGAGCTGGAAAAAAGGCTGCAAGATGTCACAGGGCAGCTTGGAAATGTCAAAAAAGCTCAGAAGAAAGGTTAATATTGCAATAGATTCATAATATTTTCTATGTTATTTTTGTAAATTTCTCACCTTTGCTGCACTCGTTACAAGTTGCTAACAAAGATGTTTTTTTTTTTTTTTTTAATAATGCACAATATTTATAAATCGTAATTAAATATTTCTTCCGTCATCTTATGTTACAGAAGACAGTAGTAAGTCAGTCGATGTGGTTGGTTCTGGAGGTGCTAGTGGGCCTTCTAGATTGTCAGCATCCAGCAGCAGTAGCAGTAGTGACAGTGATTCCAGCAGTAGTTCAATGTCGAGTTCTAGTGATTCCAGTGACTCCGAAGCAGGTTAGTGTGATGGATATGAAAATAATACGATAATGACTCGGATAATTTCTTTGGTCTCTTGAATGCGTGTTGACAAAACGCTTGTATTTCATGAAACACAAAGGGCACGGAATAATTCTTGTACAATGTTCGGTATGTACCGAGTCTTCGCGAAAATAATTTCGAAATGTTAGTTTGCTCTTAACCAACAAAAATTTTTATGACTACATAGTCGCATTGAGAAGTCGTTTGCTTTTAAAATAATTCGTGACACCGAGTGTAAAACTCTTCCTTCCCCCTAAGGATATATATAAAATGGTCGCTTTTTATTCTACGGTATCTAAGCATTGATTCGTATGAGAAGAAAATTTTAGTTAATATATTTCATTCATCGTCGTGTTCTTCCATGTTTTGTTCTATTATACGTAATTATAATTAACAAAACAGTACCATGTTGGTACATATCAAACATACAAATTAGTATTGTCCATGAAAATTCATTTCATCCAATAACGACGTTCTCACTGTACAAGAATGATTATGCCCTTGGTGCTTCACGAAAATGATCGCTCTGTAGACAGTGTGACATGCTTCTCGGTTCGGTGACTGCTTTTGACTTCAAAAATAAAATAAATAAAAAACGGCAATATAATTGTAGTAAATGTAAATAAATTAGAGATGGGAAGCCGATGGTCATAAAGAAAAATCACGCGGTATTATGAACTGTATTTTTTACCATAAATCTACATGCAGACGAATGCACAAAATACATCATGAAATTATTCAATTATTTTCTCCGGTACGATTTTTTGTGTGTCTTCCGATATTTAGTTAAAATAAAGTTGGGAGGACCCGACAAGCTTCATTAAAATATTTTTAGTGTATTGAAATCATGGAAATAAAATCTATGCATGAAAATCATTCATGTCTACTGCAATAATATGACTTTGTCCATTATCCACAAGTTCAGGGCACCATGAAGCTTGTCGAGCCTTCCCAACTTTATTTTTTAAATTAGTTTAATTGGTATTTGTAATGAACGATTCAAAAAGAACAAAAAACTAAAAAAAAACTTGACATGTTACGGTAAGAACATGGTGAGCTAGTGGAGTGCAGACTGTGTTTAGAGGATACCACCTAATATACATATAATGCCATGCCAGATTTATTTACAACATTCGCAACGTTGTCACGTATCCTACGAGATTAAAAAAAAATATAAATAATGTCATTCAATCTCCAACTAAAATCTTTTCGATCGCGAAATCCTAAATAATTGATTTTTTAAAATACACGTTTGATAAACTTTCAGTATCTGTAATCTGCACAATAGAAAGCAAAAAGGGTTGTACACAGTATACTTCCAATCAAAGGCTGTTGTCGAGTTTCGAGCAACACATAAATAGCTATTTACGCACCTAGTAAGCGAGATTAAGAATGTCGCAGATTTCACATGAATAAACGGTTAATGTGAAATCTAGGGCATTTCTCAACCTCCGAAAGTGGTGCGTATACTATTTTACGTCTCCTGGTGCTCGGTAAGTGAAAATTACCGCCCGCTACAGATCACCAGTGACGTAAAGACCTTTTTATATCAACTTATACCAACTACCATAAATGGCTATTATTTTATACTTTTTATATATCATGTATGTATATATAACACTAACTTTCTACTCTGTCAAACCCTGGATTGGTCATGCCTTAAATGGAAGACCTAACGTTATATCCAAGTAAATTTTATATTTTTTCACAAAGTATCGACAAATGGATTCGTGATTTTATTTTATTACTTAATACTTTTATATCATTTACATCATTTTTATGTATTTTTATACCACTTTTTGAGTTATTCTATGCTAGGGTGACACAGAAAACATAAATGCTTAACGCAAATAAGTATATTATTAAAATTAATTTTTTTTTTCAATTTTGACAACAGTTAATATTAATCTATTTTTATAAATGTGAGTTTTACTTCCGCTACCATTT